CATGGACAGGGAGAACTCCTGAAAATCCGCAACATATTTCCTGACGTAGCATCAACCTTTGCAATTTCAGCCAACGGTCCAGCTCGTTGTCTGCTTACTTATTATGGATATTACACCGATTTCGCGAGAGGGCTCTCGGTGCCCTTAATTTTTACGAGTACTGCTTGGAATGTTCCGCAAGTCATGCTAGACCAAGGATTGGCCAGAAGATAGGCGAAACCACAGTGCAACGGCGCTTCACTCTGCTCAGCGTTGACTTTTTTATTTGAAAATAACCCACACTCCAACCACCCTGTGACTGACAATCACGATGCTATATCTGACGGCGTTTGAAAAGGGATCTGGATAGAGTATCGATCATTTGCTAGAGCGATTCCGATGCGACAAGGAGACAGCACTGTGGCATCTCCAAAGACTTGTGAAGATCCGAAAATGTAGAGTTTGGTCCCCACGTGCCTTGAGCCCGATTCAGCTCCAAACACGATCTGACACCGTTATGTTCAAGTCGACTTACTAGGGATTCTACGATTGACCATCCATCACATTTGCCGAAGATGAGGAGTGGGTACAGTTTACTAACAAATGAACAAGCGGCGGTAGTCCAGCTCAAACGCTTCGGGAGATCTTATTGCTTAAGTTCAACCTCGTCCAAGTAGGGCCTTCTCGGATTTTTGGTGGAACACGGGAGGAGTTAAGCTCTGGAAACCCCTACGTGTAGATGTCGCAGTCAACGCGAAAGTCAACTATCCACAGCTCGAATGCAACGCTTTTAATACGAAAGAAAAACAAGGCAAAGTTTGCTTTTGTATGACACCGTTGAACCACCTCTTGCTAAGAAAATTCAGAAAAATTTTGAGACTCTAGGACGGGGAGTTCTTCTGTATCCACGTTATAGCCCTGACCTCGTGCCAAATAATGCCCTTCTGCTCCCCTCTCCAAACCATCTCCTAGAGAAGAAAGCTCATCCTAACTATGATGATGTCAAAATCGACATCTGATCTTTCTTCGATCAGAATTCAGTAGAGTCCTACAAGGGAGGCATCGAGCAGCTACTAGTGTGTTGGCAATAGGTTGTAGATATTGATGGAGGGTAGCATGCCGGATGAATGGAACAAAAAGATAATGAAAATATTAAATTCAAAATTCGGCCAGTTTGTTGCAAGACTTATGGACCGACCTAATAGAAACATATACTTTTCTAAACCTGACCAAAATAAAAACAAGAAGCTAATTTTCCTTGTTTTTAGACCAACTTCTTTAACTTATAGAGCCGTGCAAACATCATAGATAAGGATAAAAAAGGATAAAGCATTTGCCGTTGATCAATCCCTTTTTGGGATGCGGCACGCATTCTACTTCCATTTGTACATTCGTAGTGGCGTTTGAATGCGATGTGGCCTATACAATGACTTGCGGGGGCCAGCCGATGTACAAGTCAGTGTTTTTATCCTCCCAGACAAGTCTGGTACCAATTAACCGACCCCGGAGGGATGGAAGGCTTGGTTTGGTTCGGGCGTGGGAAAAAAGGGGGGGGCCTTTGGCGCCGCGGCCCACTCGAGCCACCACCCCCCCCAGGATTCGATCCCCGGACCGCACGCGTGTTGAGCAGTGTACCACTTGCCACTACACAGCTTCAGCAGTTCGTCAATATTGGGATATATTATGCCCTTTATGGTTGGGAGACTAGACGTTGCGGATAAGCCTCATAGGCCAGTCATACAAAGGAATCAAGAAACTCCACATGCTGACTATATCTACTTCGCTCTCTTCACAGTAGACGCTTATTGGGATGGTATTATATTAATGTTGCGTTGTGAACAAGCAAGGAAAGCCGCTCTTCATCCACCTGAAAATGGCCAGGCGCCGATGGATTGTTCTCTCAGTTAGCCCGACCATTTTTTCAAAAAAGGTGGTCCTTGTGATCTTTGGTGAGAGATTGCGTTCGGTGGATTGGGCAACGTATCCTTGGGAGGAAAGGAAAATTTGTGGGAAGCGAAGAAATATTCGGCCAAATATAAGACTCTTAGAGAGCTGTCATAAATTTACTCGTTCCTATCCGATTCGATATTACTTGGGGCTGAATATGGGAAAGTTTGAACCATGGGGGCCTAGATGGAGGTAGGGGTATGATCGCTTCCTTCAACAGGGAACATTTCCTATCAGGCTACAGGAATCGCTAAGACTGGACAAGCTACAAAATGCTCTCGATGTTCAGGGGTTTTTTTTTGCTGCTGAAAGCACCTTCAACAAATTGATGCATCAATCATCTTGACACTTTAGGGAATCGCTTGGGGGTTTGACTTCTGAGAGGTTTTCCTTTTCCCTGCGGCATATGATGGTCATTTTCTTCTGATTCTACTGACACATGCAATAAAAGGGTGAAAGGGAATGGTACTCGAAGTTAATCGTTCGGGTTTGGGGATGCGCCATACATTCTAATTCCATTCGAAAAGATGGGTACGATTCGATTGATATAGGGACTCGCGCCAGCCAGTTGTCATGCTAGCTATTCCTTATAACACAGATCCTTCCACCATGTTTGTTTTTATGAAATAGACACATGAATGTCGTAATAATTGACCTCTCCGGGATACGCCACGATTTTGACTTCAGCATTGAATCACGGGAAAGCTGCTTTAATCTCACCATAGCCTGCCTGCATGTGACGGCTTTCATTTGGCTTGACTACTAGGGGAACAAATCTGGTGCCACTCCAGGAGCTTCGGGTCCCTATGAAGCTCAACTGGGATGAGCGAGGGGCGATCTAGCTACTACTCAGATGTCTGCGCCTCGAACTTGCAACATCTCTACTTTCACGTTTTCAGCATGACCAAATTTGGACTCATATATTCATGCTCAATTCATTTAGCTTATGAGAATGATCGCCACCTCATCGGCACGACGTTGGGACGGGTAGCTGGACGAATACGGGACGCTCGATACGCCATCGACAGCCGGGAATATTTCCTGGCTCAGAATGACCATCCACATCATCGGAATGGCGGGGCGAAAAGTCCGTTTAGTAAGGTGAGCCTTCTTTTGGCTCTCTGCCAACTTTTAACGAAGTGAATTTAGTTTAGAAAATATGGAATTACACACTGCTCGAAGAAGGCAATGGGGTTGTTTTCACTGTTAGATCCCACGATGGTGAGGTTTACAGACAAGTTTTATACTGTTTATTGTTGTTTATTTTTCTGACCTTTTCTCGTACCGTTTTCCTCGGACTTAATTTTGTTTTTTTAGGGGAAGAAGGTTACCCGGGTAATGCCAACGTACAAGTTTCCTATGTGCTCACTAATCACAACGAGATCCTGGTGCAGTTTTCAGCCAATACTGACAAGTCAACGTTAATGAATTTGTCAAGCAATTTCTACCTCAATCTGGACGGCACTGAGGTTTGTTTGAATGTTTTAGGGGATTTTTTACCGCTTCTTTTTTACTGGGTTAGACCATTTCCTAATAGGCAACAGGTGGATCATTCTGTCCCGTTTTGAGTTCTACATATTACACACTCCCCAAAAAGCTTCAAATTGTCCTGAGTGTTTCGCCACAAGAAGGTATACGTGATTGCTTCCAATGTGAAAAGTTCCATGGGCTCAAGAATATTCATGAATGAAGTCATAAAAGGCCCAAGCGGCTTTGCCATATGGACACGGAACTAGCGATTATGACTAACAACTGTGACGTAATCCAAGATCTCGAAAATGGTATTCAAGACATGAACAAAGGGCCTAGGGGTAGTGAGTGAAAGGGTCAGATGTGTAGGATTCAACTGAGGTGCAGCGATTTTTTCTGGGGATTTATTCAATGAAGAAGATGAGCTTATCCTCGGCCTTGCCATAAAAACGAGAAGAGCGTCGGGTGCAGACCATACACCACAAGTGACGACGGCTTCCACAAAATGTAAATGTTTTCTGCCAATGAAATGATTCCTGCTGTTGTTGTATTCTATCAGTTGTCACTAATTACAACTATCATTTACCAAAAATCAGCTATCACTATGAAGCACTACTAACTAGATTTACCTGAAGGCCGTCGTCACTTGTTGTGTTAGTCTGCACCCGACGCTCTTTTCGTCTTTTGAAAGGAGGGTTATAATATTGGGAAAGGATTGGATGAAATTTTGGGAAAATCGTGAAATTTGATATTTTTGGAATATATCTGTAACTTTTGCGAGGACTTGACCAATTTTACGGAGGTGTCTCTGCTGGTTTGTAACCGTTATTTTGTTTAGAGCCTGTCCCGTCAGTGGACATTTGAGGGGTGGAACGGGGGCGTAGTATGGTTGAGGAAGAGGAAGTGCATGATTCAACAGTTAAGTGTGGCCGTGTAGCATGTTTGTGGAAGAGATGGGATAGCAGCTGACTTGCAGCTGTATGTCTATTGACTTGCATGTGCACGCGCCATGTCTTTGAAGGAGCGCGATGTATTTCGATGTTTCGAAGGCAGCGATTACGATAAATTCAAGAAGGGTTTATTGGAGACTGGTGGTGCTCACTAGTACGCCCAGTGGCGAAAAAAGCGTAGAAATCTCCGTCTGACAAAACGCAAAACAGGACCCCCTTTCATTGGCTGTGAGTATTTCCCCTGAACAGAAGCACAGAAGGCGGACCTGTTAAAGAGTTCATCGCAACGCGTTGTGACACGCATGCTCCACCACGCTTAATCGAGATCTCAGTAGTGCCGCCGCTCACGCACAACCAGTTTCTCCAAATCACGCAAAACAAACTAGAGGGCAGAATCGCTTTTGGGGTGGAGGGTTTCGAAAATGCTGGCTACAGCAAGCAGGTGCGACGCCTTCGTCAAGTGAAGCGTTACAGCTCGCTTCCTGGCGGCCAAAGTAAGTAATTCGTGTGGTGCAATACTTTTTCCTATGCCGAGTCCTTCCTTTTTTCGTAATCGGCTGCTTTAAAGGAATCTTGCGCGGAAAATTCTTGCACTCTTTCCTAACATGAATATGTCAGTTGTGATCACTGGAAATAGCACACAAAGTTTCACGCATGAAGATTCGGTTTCTGAAGAGAAACAAACGTACAAAAACTACACGTTATGGACCATCGAAGGACCAGGAGGCAGAGCCAGGCGAGGCATGGAAAGAAGACGGCGTTTGGCCGGCTACGTACCAGGCGACGCAATGAGAGAATCGGGTTAAAGCGCGCGATTTCGGAGAGTGGAGACAAATCGATCGATGGAATAGGATGGAGTAGAAGTGTAAGATGTGAATGCAACGAAGCAGAAGGCCAGAAAGAGCTTCTAGTGAATGCACTCCAAGAACCAAGTTTGAGCATCCCCGTCGCCAGCATTCGTGAAAGACGTCCGTGGGCAATTCGAACGCGTAGCAGCCTTTTCGAGTTTTCGAATTTCTAATCAAAACGAAAGCAATACTTCAGTTCTTTTCACTATTATCGTGGATAATGAGTCTCAAGCCAGTGATTTATGGCTGAAATAGAATCATGATTTTTCCGCGCAAGATTCCTTTAATAACTTTTCTTGTAAAGAGAATGCAACTTTACGATGCATCAAGAGCTTCATGATAGAAGCTTTGTGTCTCACAGTGCAGTTTTAGAATAGGCTCTGCTTTTTCACGAAATTGTCGAAAACAGAAAAATAAAATAAAGGATTTGATGCTAAAGCGATTACGGCTCCTTGAAGGTCTGAAAACTCTCGAATCGCGAAGAAGTTTTTTTTGAGGAGAGTCGTTTCTCGTCATTTTGCAACGTATTCGAGATTTCGTAATTATTAAATATCAAAAAAGCTACACATCAAATTCGAATCTAATCTAAAGCCGCTTTGTCCAAAAAAGTCCGTTCAGCAAGAGAATGCTTACGATAAAAATTGAATGCACATGAATAGAAACCTCTGCAAAACTTGTAAAATAATCAGTCAACTGTGCTATATGCAATTTTTCAGAGTTCCACGCTCGACAATCACAATGTCCAAGTGACCGCTACGTCATTCCTCGAGACGGAAAAGGATGGCACAGTCACAGGTTAGCAGCGTCAATTTCTAAAGCTTAGTCAATGGTCCAAAAATAACATTTTACTGCTCCTATGAAGAGGAAACCTATGTGATGGCCTGGAGAAGCACGACTATTTTGTTTGCTTTCGGAATTTCCACTTTCCTTCCTTCAAAGACAATCGCTTGTAGGAGAGATCATCGACCTGCCGTCAACCTCGCGAGATCCTCAACCGATCACTCGCGACAACGCCGATTCTCCTAAGCCAGATTTACTGTTTTGATCCGCTTCAGACAAAGTCGGCAAAGAAATTCCGACATATGATGAGGTGAGCAGGTTGAAGTGATCCGAGAACGTCCCTAATGAAATAGTGAAGTGGGCGGACGGCTGTGAGGAATTTCTAACGATGGCAATCTAAGAAGTGTGACAATCGCTTAATCTTAGCTGACGTCAAGCTGTCTTTTTCAAAGCCAAAGTGATTGAAACGTTGAAATGAGAAAATGGAAAATGAGTTTCTCATGAATTTCGGAAGGGGTGGGTAAGAAAGCAGAGGGGAAACTGTTCCGCCACAGAATTCAGAGCAACTTTGGTCCAGGGGACCTGCACTCATTTTCCATATCTCGCGCAACATGAAGCCTTAAGCATAAAAAATAAAAAATAAAGCTGGAAGAAGTCGTTCATGAATCCTTTCGAGGTGCGCCACGCTTTGAACTTCCATCCAGAATCGAAGCAGCATTTTGAATGATTTAGGTAATGACACACGAGAGCAAGCCGATATACAATAGCGGTCAAAAGTGTTCGCCGAGAACGATTTTTAGTGCATTATTTTTTCTCTTGAGCAACCCTCCAAAGATTGATATACTATGTTTTCTAGTGTTTTATATCCTCAAGTCTTAAAGAATCAGGATATTCAAAGAAAATTTTCGAGGCCACCATTGATTTTTTGGCAAAAAAGAGAAGCACGAAAAACCGTTTCGGCGAACACTTTTGACCGCTACTGTTCATTCAATAGTCTTATGATGCCGGACAAGTCTTGTACAAATTAATCGACCCGGGAGGGATGATAGGCCTGATGCTCTGGAGGTGTGGTCCACGATTTACCTCTAGACCTTGCGGTTGATAAACACGGGCACCTGTCAGAAAACCGCTTTCGCCGACATGAATCTCTGAGTATAAACAAAAGGTCTAGTCTTACTATGCCATAAAGTGGTGCAGAGTAAGGTGGTTGGTGTTGGTCAGAATGTTTTGGATAAGCCACGCATGCAGTTTATTCTTTGAGCACTCTGTTATAACTTAAGAACATAAGAATTTTGGGGAAACAATGAATTTTCATTCTTTTCTGTCGCCACGTAAGTTCTCCCGGATGTTTTCAAACTGGTTTCTGATCCATATTATGCTTCTAAACTGAGACCCTGTCTTCTTAGAACTACCTATTTTCATCGTACCTACCCGCATAGAATGCTGTCCCTCATGCGCCTAACGAGATAGCCGTCTAGTGCCGTGCCTACCCCTCTTGTCCCTCTTCTAACTCCTTGCTTCATACTGCAATGCCGTTTTTGATATCCTAAAAGGCCCACTAAGGGTAACCTAAGACAATAATTCTGAAGGCTACTGCGAAGGAAGAAAGGGCTTAGAACCTGTGTTATCCAGCTCAAAACGTGCCATTTCCGCCTCCGCTATCAAGTAATTTACTGATCACGTCTGCGACCCCCCTTCCTCCCCCCGTTCTCTTGTGGCCGAATTCGGTTTCTTGCATGTTGTGTTTTGTCGGTTATTACAATTTCCAATTTCATCCGCACAAAAGGGATTCATTCTACCCTCATTAAGTAAATAACACCGCGCCGATATCACGTAAAAACACCTCCGCTGGTGCAGTGCACTTGCGTACATCTAGAGACAACCGTAACTTGCCCATAGGGGTAATTCGATATGCTGATTACGAAAACGACATTCATTTTTAGCGGTGGCGCCATCTGGCGCCAGTTGGCGTCACCTTGTCACGACCCTTGTTTTCACCAAAATCGGTGTAAACTTCTGTATAGGGGTTATTTGGTGCCCTGATTACGAATATGACATTCGTTTTGGCACTAACGTTGTTCAACGCATATTTCTCGGTTGGAGAGCGCAGACGAG